TCAAGATACATTGTCAGAACACGATTCAATTAGTACATTGCGTATTTTCTCTTCTTGCTTCTGTGTTGGTTCAGAGTCTTGAAGTTGGTAGAATGTAATTATGTGCTAATTGGCTGTTGATTGCTGATATGGACTTTTTGATGTGTAGTGATTCGCTGATGTCGAGTCTCCTGCTGTCGCTGTATCTATCAATAACTTCTGAGTTGCTTGTTAAGATTTCTCTGGTGATGGTCTGGTTGTGTGAGGATATTATATGCTTCTTGGCGAAGCCCTGTTGTTTGTGCATTGTTAATCCCCTAGAAAGAGACGTTGTTGTCTTGCCTATATACGGAGATCTATGAGGCTGACAGTCCCCAAGTAGGCATGTGAAGGCATAGATGACGTTTGTTTCTTTCAAGGCATTCTGTTCTGTTCTCCATTTGACAGCACGAGACAGTTTTGTTATTGTAATAATCATGATGTTAGTGTGAACCTTAAAAATGGTGTGAACGCCCTCATAGATGCAGCGAATGCTGAGATGGGAGGCATAAAATTTGAAACAGTAATAGGTGATTTTAGACCAGCTTACTTCTATGGTAATGTGAAGACGCATAAGCCTGGCTGCCTACTTAGGCCTATAATTTCGCAGATCCCTATCCCTACTTAATAACTTGCAAAACGACTGAACACAATAAGATCGCCGTATATCCCGACCACATTCTCGCTTAAATGTAGCGACGAATTTATTGGCATTCTGAGAACGAGAGAACCCCCGTGTGATCATGACTTCCCTTGACGATGAAAGTCTATTCACTAATGTTCCAGTGGTAAGGACCATAAACATAATATTAGACTATGTGTATCACCAAGAGCACCTCCCTCCACTCAGGTACCTCGAACTCTGTTACGAGGTACTCAAGGTGCCTTAAAGAGAACTCCATGAACTTTCTTTTTGTGAGAACTTTCACATGTGTTGAGTTTTGGGTTGGTTGACTTTTGTACGACTGTGGCCGGTTAAGGCAGGCCTCTGTGAATCAGCAGAACGCGAGTTCAAGTCACTACATTGTCTCAAAATTATTTGCATTGATATATCATGCCACTGTGATTTCAATAAAAAGGAATGTATGTATATATGTATACGGAAAAACCACATGTGAAAAATAAAGAATGCTAAACGCATTTTCGGCTTAATTCACCTTCATCAGAGCAAAGTAGAATGAATGGCTTCATTCTACTTTGCTCTAAGGAAGGCGAATTAAGCCGAAAACGCGTTTAGCATGGTGTCGGCTATGCAATTGTTACGTTATTTGGGAGCCGGTCGGCCGAGCGGACAGCACGCTCGACTTGTGATCCTGTGGTCCTGGGTTCGATCCCAGGCGCCGGCGAGAAACAATGGGCAGAGTTTCTTTCACTCTATGCCCCTGTTACCTAGCAGTAAAATAGGTACCTGGGTGTTAGTCAGCTGTCACGGGCTGCTTCCCGGGGGTGGAGGCCTGGTCGAAGACCGGGCCGCGGGGACACTAAAAAGCCCCGAAATCATCTCAAGATAACCTCAAGATAGCATTCTTCATTTTTCACATGTGGTTTTTCCGCATACTTGGGTCAGTGTTTTTGTGATCGTTGATGAGTATATAAATATATATATATATATATATATATATATATATATATATATATATATATATATATATATATATATATATATATATATATATGTGTGTTTCTACGTATATATATATATATATATATATATATATATATATATATATATATATATTTATATATATATTTAAATATATATATATATTTCAGGAATGTTTCTACGAGCTTTGAGGGTTTGCAGCCCTGAGTTTTTTGATGAAGAGATTGCTAAAATATATGAAATTGGGAAGAGTTTACAATATCCTAAGAGGTTTTTGGATTTCTCGTTTGTACAAGCCAAACGTACGTTTTATAATCACGTCCCTAAGGCGAAACCAAAATTATTAACTCATTGGTGGTACCTTATGCGAGTGGACTTGAAAAATTGTCTCTGATTTTTAAGAAACTTAATATAAATTTGGTGTTCACTAATAGTACGATCAAATCCAATTTAATAAAAAACTCCCCTGATACAGCAGGTTGTGTGTATTCAATTCCCTGCAATGATTGTGATTCTGTGTACCTTGGACAAACAGGAAAGTCCTTACAATTGCGGTTGTCACAACATGCTTATAGTATTAGAACTGCCCAAACGTCTAATGCATTGTATCTACATACGAGTTTATGCGATCACAATATTAACTGGAATGGGGCAAAAAGCATTACCAATTGTGGGGATTTCGTGGAACGGAATTTGATTGAGTCTGCTCTAATCAGTCAGTGTCCAAATCTTCTTAATGTTAGTACTGGAATGTACAAACTTGATCCATTTTTAAGTTATAATATTGCACAACAGTTTAAGAAACAACTCTAATAGAGAGGCTTACAATGTCTCATTATAATTGTATATTCATATATTGTGTGTTCATGAGGCTTTTCTTTAATCTTTCATCCTTATTCTCTGACCGCTTAATCCTCTTTGACCATTTTAAGCTAAGCTATACCTGATTTTGGTTAATTACACCTGACCAACCCTAGGGATGGGTTGGTCAGGTGTCGGCCTATATATCCTCCCCCTTCTCCCTTCTCCTTTGTCAGTCTGGTGTTGACAAAGGCTTTAACAAAGCCGAAACGTTCACCTCATTTCATATTTCTCTGTGGATTTTCCGCATAAAATGATCAGTGTTTTGTGATCGTCAATTGCATATATATATATATATATATATATATATATATATATATATATATATATATATATATATATATATATATATATATATATATATATATATATTATTAAATGTGACCGAAAAAGTAAGATTAATAATTCTAACACGAATTTTCTCAATCTTTCGTACATTTCTTTTCACTGTTGGAGGTAAATCAAAAATCAATTCTCCAAAATTCATTTTTATTTCTAGTCTGACGCGACACGAGCGCGTTTCGTAAAACTTATTACATTTTCAAAGACTTTAGTTCACAAATACACAACTGAATAGAACTTACGCATCTCCGATTTTATATCTACATTTGAGTGAGGTGGAAGGGGTGATGTGGCATTAACACAAGACAGAACAAGAGGTGGCATTAATAGGGTATTAATTTCATCAACACAAGACAGAACAAGAGGTGGCATTAATAGGGTATTAATTTCATCAACACAAGACAGAACACGAAACAATGGGTATTGAATAGAAGTGTTTGTAGAAAGCCTATTAGTCCATATTTCTTGATGCTTCTATATTGGAGCGGAGTCTTGAGGTGGGTAGAATATAGTTGTGCAATAATTGGCTGTTGATTGCTGGTGTTGACTTCTTGATGTGTAGTGCCTCGCAAACGTCAAGCCGCCTGCTATCGCTGTATCTATCGATGATTTCTGTGTTGTTTACTAGGATTTCTCTGGCGATGGTTTGGTTGTGGGAAGAGATTATATGTTCCTTAATGGAGCCCTGTTGCTTATTATTGCAATTATTGCACAACTATATTCTACCCACCTCAAGACTCCGCTCCAATATAGAAGCATCAAGAAATATGGACCAATAGGCTTTCTACAATCACTTCTATTCAATACCCATTGTTTCGTGTTCTGTCTTGTGTTGATGAAATTAATACCCTATTAATGCCACCTCTTGTTCTGTCTTGTGTTGATGAAATTAATACCCTATTAATGCCACCTCTTGTTCTGTCTTGTGTTGATGAAATTAATACCCTATTAATGCCACCTCTTGTTCTGTCTTGTGTTAATGTCACATCACCCCTTCCACCTCACTCAAATGTAGATATAAAATCGGAGATGCGTAAGTTCTATTCAGTTGTGTATTTGTGAACTAAAGTCTTTGAAAATGTAATAAGTTTTACGAAACGCGCTCGTGTCGCGTCAGACTAGAAATAAAAATGAATTTTGGAGAATTGATTTTTGATTTACCTCCAACAGTGAAAAGAAATGTACGAAAGATTGAGAAAATTCGTGTTAGAATTATTAATCTTACTTTTTCGGTCATATTTAATAATATATGTCTACAGGAAAGACTGCTACCAAAATATACTAATATATATATATATATATATATATATATATATATATATATATATATATATATATATATATATATATATATATATATATATATATATATATATATATATATATATATATATATATATATATATATATATATATGTCGTACCTAATAGCCAGAACGCACTTCTCAGCCTACTATTCAAGGCCCGATTTGCCTAATAAGCCAAGTTTTCATGAATTAATGTTTTTTCGTCTACCTAACCTACCTAACCTAACCTAACCTAGCTTTTTTTGGCTACCTAACCTAACCTTACCTATAAATATAGGTTAGGTTAGGTTAGGTAGGGTTGGTTAGGTTCGGTCATATATCTACGTTAATTTTAACTCCAATAAAAAAAAATTGACCTCATACATAGAGAAAAGGGTTGCTTTATCATTTCATAAGAAAAAAATTATAGGAAATATATTAATTCAGGAAAACTTGGCTTATTAGGCAAATCGGGCCTTGAATATTAGGCTGAGAAGTGAGTTCTGGCTACTAGGTACGACATATATATATATATATATATATATATATATATATATATATATATATATATATATATATATATATATATATATATATATATATATATATATATTACTTCCTTTACTTGAGTACTAGGAGTCTCGAACACCTGACATCCAGCATGGGAGAGAGTCGCTCTATCAATCTCGTTAGGGGGCTATCCTTAATACAGTTGATTACTACTGAGAATACAGTTGAGCTACTGTTTACCATGCTGGAGGTCGGGTGTTAGAGCTCCTAGTGCCCAAGTGAATGAAATGTTACATCCACAGTTGTGGATGTAACATCCTGCTATCCAGACTGTATAGTACTAATGTAAGTCATATCTTCCTCCCTCTTCTGTGGTCGCAGGTGCAGGCTACGTTTTGAGCAGGGAAGCCGTGAAGCAGTTTGTGGAGGTTGCTCTCCCTAACAAGAAGCTCTGCTTGATGCATGACAAGGGCGCCGAGGATATGGAGATGGGTCAGTAGATGTCGGAAAACCCGACACCATTTACTAATATTCAGTACAATAGGCAGCTAATATTTCTGCTGGATTGTAATAAATAAATTCACTCATAGAAGACAGCAGTGGAATGGAGTCGACTGCTAGCGGCCGTGGAGTGAGGACGTTTACCGACCCTCCGTGGTCGTTGGAGTTGTTTGCTGTTTTGGTCACCAGGTGGTGTGGGCGTACCTGCCCTACCAGTTTTGTTGCTTGCCTGGCTGCGTTGACGTGGCAGTTCTGACATGGGGGGCCATCTTCCTCCTGTTCAGCGTGTGAACTCCATGGGCCTGGAGTTCACTTGTAAGGCTGGTTATCCGACCATCGAGATGGTGATGTGTGACATGCTTCGTGTCCCGGTGGAAGCTGTTTACGGTGTGGAGCTAGTTACGGCCCATCGGGTTGTTATTAAGTTCGTGGGGGTGGACGAGTACCGGGACTTCCTCCGTCGGTACGGGGGGCGTACGTTGCCGTTGCCTGACGATACCGGCTCTGTGGCGATTTCGAACCGCAGTGGTGCCCTGACTTATGTCAGTATCCATGGTGCGCCCCTGGAATTCCCTGATGACCTCCTCCGGCGTTACTTCGGGGGGTTTGGTACTGTTGTCAGCTTGCGGGTGAACACGCTCTCCTCGGAGCGGTATGCTGGGAGGCGTACAAACATTTGCACGTTGGGGATGCGCCTGCGGTCGGATATACCTTCTTCTGTCCGGCTTATGGGATACTACGTCCGGGTGTATTATGCCCGGCAGCCTCGTACCTGTTTCCAGTGTGGCCTGTTGGGGAATCAGGCTGCCGGCTGCTCTGAGGCCCCTGCTGCTCCTGTCAACTTGTTCCGTGACGAGGATTTCCCGCCGCTCCCTCTGGAGGCAATCTCCGGTGATGTCGATGAGGTGGTGCGCGTCCCGTTTGCTGCTGCAGCTTCCCCGGCGGCGCCTGCTGTTCCTCCGGTTGTTGCCGTCCCTCCTCCGGTTCTTGAGGTACCGTCGGTTGGTCTGCCTGATCTTGTCGCTGTTCCAGCTGCTCCCATGGGCCTTCCTGGAGCCCCTTGTGTGACGTCGCTGTCTTCTCCCTCATCTTCTGATGCTGCGCCTGGCCCTGTGTCCGTGTCTCGGGTCCCGGATGTGCTTGGAGCTGGGGTGGCTGCGGAGCCTCCTGCTGTGTGTGGCCCGGTTCCCCCTGTGGTAGAGGCTGCTGCCGTTCTGGCGTCGGTTCCTTCGGCTCGTGGTACCCGTGTTTCTGGGTCACTTACCGGCTCTGACGATATCCGGCCGGTGCCCAAACGTTCCCGGCGTTCGTCTTCTTCCTGGGCCGACGTTGGTGACTTCAGTGACTGCGGGTCTTTGGGTATTGACAGTGTGGATACGGATGCGTCGATGTCTCCGCGGTTTGTGGTGGCGGAGGTCCATGTGCCTGCCGGTGCTGGTGCCTGTGTCTCGGACGTGCCTTCGATTCTTTCTCCGCTGGGGGACTCTCCACAGTGGGGGGGGGGTGGCTTCCGCTGCCAGGGATGGTGTGGACTCTGGTGCTGGGCGTGGCCTGGTGGTGACGTTACGGAAGGATGCGCGCCGTCCGGGTTCCCTGCTGTCATCTGGTGGTATGCCCGGGGCCGCTGGTACCCCTGTGGTGCGGGTGCGCGTTGGGGCCCTGGGGGACGTGTTGCCGGCGTCTGTGATGCCACCGGGTCACTGGTCGAAGATTGCTGAGTTACTGCTGTCTGACGGACCGGAGTGCTTTCATGGTGGGCAAGTTCCCTTTCTGTGGGGGCGAGTAGCGACTTCTCGCCTCCTGAGTACTACCATCTGGGTCCCCAGTTTGCAGGTGTTTGTTGCCCCGGTTCCGGATGTTATGGCGTCCCCGGTGGATGGACGGGACCCTTTGCAATGGGTGTTCTGGGAGGCGTTTAATGTACGGTTCCTGCAGGCCAAGTTCTTGGGCAAGTATGTGCTCTGATTTCCTGTGTATTTGCTCTATGACATGCTGTGTGCCCTTCTGGCTGTTTGTTTGCCCTGCTCTATTATGTGCTTCTGCCTCTCCCTTTGTGCGTTGCTTTGCCGTGTGGTGTATTAGTTTCTAGTGCTTGGCGTCACTCGTTTCGCGTTTTGGCTTGGCATTTCGCCTTTCCTGGCTTTGCGATTCACCCTTCACGGGTACGCCGGGGCGCAATAGATCCCACGATCGTCGTCGCCCCTAACTCAACAACAACAACAACAGCAGCGGAATTTTCCTCCTGTAGAAAATGGGATATTATTGTCAAATGTCGCTATTAATTTCACCAGATAATTTTGTTGGGAATTATTCTTAATCCAGCAGTCTTTGGACTTTAAACATCATAAAAACATCTCACTTGAATAAACTTAATTATTAGTACCAAAATAGAGTAAATGTTACCTCTCTACCACTACTTGACACCTTAACAAGAGAGCCAGGGCTTCAGTGGAGGAGGGCCAGTAGTCAACCATTGTAAATCAACGAGTCACAGGAGGAGAATACCTCTAACAATACTCCCTTGGACGAAGTGTTTTGGCGAGTAAATTAGTGCGTCCATCATCAACACGCAGTCATCATCTAAACAAGGGAAGTGTCTTTCCGAAATCTTATCTAGTCATTCCTGGCCAGTAATGTTCAGCAGATAGGATTGTTTTCTGGTTAGAACGAGAGACAGTGACCAACTCAGAGTGAGTAATACAGTTGAAGAAGAAGCAGAACAGTTACTTGGTACACCAGTACATGGTGTTGATGCCAGCCTCAAACACGAGGATTAGTTGGTGTGATCATCCTTGTTAATAACTGGTGGACCAGGCTTACCTACAAAAAGATAAGGCCTCCCACTTTTAATTACTAATATATGTAGTTTAATACTATATTGAATGTCTGCTAATCAATAATTTGATAGACTATATATATAAATAATATAAACCCCCATAATGTATAATGAGATTGATTTGTGAGACATTTTAGAAATACAGTCCACTAAACATCATACAATTTCCTATCGAAATATATAAGTTAATGTAAAATATAAATTCTACATAAATTCATATAAATTAAATAAATATAAATCTCACAGGTCGGTTCCCACAGTAGATGTCGAGATGAGTCAGTTGATGCTCAGATGAGTGAGTGGCTGCTGAGATGAGTCAGTAGATGCTGAGATTTGTCAGTAGATGCTTAGATTGGTCAGTAGATGCTGAGATTGGTCAGTAGATGCTGAGATTAGTCAGTAGATGCTGAGATTGGTCAGTAGATGCTGAGATTGGTCAGAAAATGCTGAGATTGGTCAATAGATGCTGAGATTGGTCAGTAGATGCTGAGATTAGTCAGTAGATGCTGAGATTCGTCAGAAGATGCTGAGATTGGTCAGTAGATGCTGAGATTGGTCAGTAGATGCTGAGATTGCTCAGTAGATGCTGAGATTGGTCAGTAGATGCTGAGATTGGTCAGTAGATGCTGAGATTGCTCAGTAGATGCTGAGATTGGTCAATAGATGCTGAGATTGGTCATTAGATGCTGAGATTGGTCAGTAGATGCTGAGATTGGTCATTAGATGCTGAGATTGGTCAATAGATGCTGAGATTGGTCAATAGATGCTGAGATTGGTCAGTAGATGCTGAGATTGGTCAGTAGATGCTGAGATTGCTCAGTAGATGCTGAGATTGCTCAGTAGATGCTGAGATTGGTCAGTAGATGCTGAGATTGGTCAGTAGATGCTGAGATTGCTCAGTAGATGCTGAGGTTGCTCAGTAGATGCTGAGATTGGTCAGTAGATGCTGAGATTGCTCAGTAGATGCTGAGATTGCTCAGTAGATGCTGAGATTGGTCAATAGATGCTGAGATTGGTCATTAGATGCTGAGATTGGTCAGTAGATGCTGAGATTGGTCAGTGTATGATGAGATGGGTCGGTGGATACTCTATTGGTTAAGCTGTAATGGCTGGAAATGTAATGCAATAGTTAAGAAAGGTGTAAAGGTTCAAAAGATGCTATAATGAATCAATGGATGATTAATGAGTCAGAGCATTCAGTAATAATGGATGATATAATGGGTCAATGGATGCTATAATGGATCAATGGATGCTGTAGTTGGTCAGTGGATGCTTAATGGGTCAGTGGATGCGGTGACGGTTCAGTAGGGGCTGTAATGGAGCAGCAGATGCTGTAATATGTCTATGGATACAATAATGGATCAATACATGCTGTAGTGGGTGAGTGAATGATGTAATGGGTCAGTTAATATTGTAATGGTTCAGTGAATTACATAATGGATTAGTGGATATTGCATTGGTTCAGTGCTTGCTGTAATGATTCAATGGATGCTGTAATTGATATGTGGATACTGTAACAGTCTATTGATGCAGTAATGGGTCAGTCGGAGTTGAAATGGATCTGTTGATGCTTAATGTAATCAGCAGATGTTGAAGTTGGTCAATGGATGCAGTAATGGTTCAGTGGATGTTGTAATGGTTCAGTGGATGTTGTAATGGTTTAGTGGACGCTGTAATGGTTCAGTGGACGCTGTAATAGTCTAGTGGATGTTGTAATGGGTCAGCAAATGTTTTAATGAATCAGTTAATGCTGTAATGGTTGAATCGTTGATGTAATGGTTGAGTGGATGCTGTAATTAGTCAATGAATGCTGTAGTGTGTCAGTGGATTTCCAAATGGTTCAGTAGATATGGTGATGGGTCATTGGATGCTGTAATTATTCAGTGGATGCTGTAACGGTTTAGTGTATTCTGTAATGGGTCAGTTTGTAATGGTTCAGTGAATGCAATAATGGTTCACTCGATGCTGTAATGGGTCTGTGGATACTGTGATTGGCGCTCCAATAGATCAGTGTGTTGTAATAGGTCAGTGAATGCTGCGATAGGTTAATGAATGATGAGATAGGTCAGTATATAAGTAAGTGTGCACACAGCTCACTTCTTGCGGGCTACTCATGCCCGAGCCACCTCTTGAGTGGCTTAATCTTCGTCTATCA